GTCACCAGCACCCCGATCATCAACCCGGCCACAGGGTTCGACATAATGGAGTTGTTGCTTAGGAACTGTCCGGCCACCTTCCCTGAAAGACAAATGGCCACCAAATGACTGGGAGCTGAGTGGACAGAAGCCCCATGGAGGCCAGCTGGCTGCAGCTGAGGAAGCCCCAGCTCCTGTCCCCTGGGCACTGTCAGCCCCTGGCTCCTCTGCCCCTCCACTCTGTGCCCTCCCATCTCTGAACAACTCCCCAGGTCAACAAGTCCTTCTCCAGCCCTCTTCCACCATGACCTGGCTTCGACTCTGCACTGGGCCCAGGAGTGCCAGTGAGCCACTCCATGTCCTAATTCCTCTGCCCCTGGGATGTTTCCCCAGTTCAGAAGATTTATCCTCTGAGAGTGAATTTTCTTTCTTTTTTTTTTTTAAACAGTTTCATTCTGTCGCCCTGAGTGCCATAATGTCATAGCTCACAGCAACCTCAAACTCTTGGGCTTAAGTCATCCTCTTGCCTCAGTTTTTTTTTTATTTTTAGTAGAGACAGGGTCTCACCCTTGCTTTGAATGGTCTCTAACTTGTGAGCTCAAGTTATCTACCCACCTTGGCCTCCCAGAGTATTAGGATTGCAGGCGTGAGCCTCTTCACCCAGCCTAAGAGTGAATTTTCTTCTGTGTCTGCCAATAGACCTAGTCCCAGCCCATAATTAAAAGCTGTGTAACTCTCAGAACATCTATTCCCCCAAAGCCATTGTATAAAAGCAGACCCAGGATGAGGGGACACACATGATGTGTCTGGGATGATCAGAGAGCTAAGCCCCTTCCTGACACTGCCATGGACCAGGAGGGGGATAAGCAGTGTCCAGAAAGTCAGTTTTCCTCTCATGCCCCATCACAAACCTCTCTCTGACCAACTATTCCAGGACCCAAAGATGGGGTCTCAAGAGAAGGATCAAGGTGGAGGAATCCATAGACCTTGTGCTACCTGGATGTGAGATTGAATCCCACTATTCTGATCCCAGGCTGTGTGTCTCAGGGCCTCTGAACCTGGTATGTCATAGCAGCTATGGACTGAGAGGTGCTCTCCTGTCCTAGAATCTCCTATGGCAGGGACAGGCCCAAGGACACCAGGGATCCCTCAGGTAAGTCTCATTGTCAAATAGTGTCCTGACTGGGGGGTGTGGACAAATGGCTTGGAATAGGTGGCAGCCCTGGCTCCTGGCTAAGCCACCTGAGGCCAGGCCTCCGTGTTCTCTTCTATATGATGGGAGACTTGGGCCTCATGAGATGACCTGAGTGGGGTTCCACTCCTAAAACACTCCAGAGGCTGCAGCTGGGAAGGGTTCCCCTGGTTTCTCTGACCCAAAATGAATCTT